TTAGATCCTACAATGCATCAACGACTCATAATCAACTATGAGCAGCATAATTCTAATGAGATAATATGGACGTGCAGTTGAAATAACAACTTTTCAAATCAACTAATAAAATTGAAAATGGTACATTGGAAAGAGGTAATCAGCAATGGTGACCTAAACAAAACAAACAACAAAGTAAAAATTATACACCTCACGCCATAAAGTTTAAGTTCCACTTCCACATATCTTGTTTATTTACAGCTTTACCTACAAAGCAGGATGGTAACCAAGAGGCACATTTGTGTCCACCCTCTGCACAACTCTCCTCAAACTCCACTGGTGGAAGAATTCCAAGATAAGTCTCAGTGCAGTTCCAAGTCCAAGAACCACAATAATACCTGTACATGTAACAATTTCTCTTACAGGTCACAGTTCAACAACCAACACCACCAAGCATACTAGTTTCATTAGGCACAAACATACCTATAATGATGTTAATGGGGAGTGCAGAGACACCGAGGGTAACGGATATTAGCACGTCCAACAGCAGACCACCAATGAGGATTGAAAATGCCACATAAAGTGGGCTAACACAACCCTGCTGACCGGTGCATATGAAATAGTAGAATCAGCAACTATCTTCATAAAGCTTAATACAATTCTAGTAGATTGATTAGTGACCGCCTTACCCTGTCTCGATTTTGTGACCGATAGGTTGAGTCAACTCTCCAGACCCAGTAGCTCCCCTGCTATGCAAAACACACTGAGAGTTATACTTTGACATGTTTATGATATGCTTCCATGTTACCACACAAAAAATGGGCAATGGCACTACCATAAATCTATGCTCAGATCAGATGTAATCATACTACATCCTGTTTTCAGTCATACTGGTAATCATAATACTCAATTATCTCTTGTATCCAAAAATAGAACCCCAGTTCCATGGCTGAGGCAATTGGGTTTGGAGCACCACTCCAAAAACCAACGTTTTAAGAGATAAGGATAGGATAAACTAAATGGCTAAATTAGAAAAAATGGATAATGTAACGAGTAAGATTTTTGGATATTGAAAGACTTTGAAACTTTCCAGCTTCAAACTTCAAAC